CACAGGGAGCTAGCTCTGACAACGTATCCAGTTGGGGCACAGGTGTTGCCGTCATACCCTACATCCCCCCAATGTACCCAGTAAGAGGACGGTCTGTTATATGTTAATATATGGAGGGGTCAGCAGCAGAACTCTAGATTTTGTAATTTAGACTGGAAAACCCTTTTAAATATTTAGAGCTTTATTTTTTACTTATAAACTAGGACTAAACCCTCAGTAAAGATTAGTTTTCTAGAGCATTGGATCGTATTTTTATTTTTGTCAAAACACCTACAGTTTTCCTCTTACTATGTTCAAGTTTTCTCTCATTACACTGTGCACTTCTTGCTTCCTTTTTTGTATAAATGTCCTGTGGATATGTACATGCTCCAGTGGCACTGAGTGTCACCGTTTTACCATGGTGAATATGGCAGGGCGTGCCAGCTCTCATTGTACATTGACATGGCTGCTCATAGTCCAACTCTATGATTAACCGTTAGTGAGGAGTGTGAAATGCATAGGTGAAGTCTCTTCTTGATGTATTTCTGATATGCCAATTTCTGAATACGTAAAGTAGCCGAACTCTTACTTTGCAGTGCAGTCATCCATTAATTGATATTGGGTTTATAAGAGACAAGCAAGACTGGCACCTGTTTATTATGTAGATAAACACGGACCAACCTGAAGCAACACGGTGTTTGGATTATTACCTAGGAAAGCCAGAACTTTTGACATTATAGTAACCTGGGCAACAACATCATAAATGGTTTGTGTGTTTTAGTGTAGATACACACCAAGGCTTCCTCTGGTCCTCTAAGCAATATATGTCAGACCTCAGTATATCTTGTTGCCATGTTTGCTTTCTTGGTGCTCCATATTAGTTCTGCACAGTAAAGATCTCCTTTCATGTGGATGACAGTTCCTTGTGATCTCATAATTAGTCGGGCGTAGCCATACTTGCTATATGATTTAGAGTATGTACGGATGCTATTCTCACATTGAAACAGTCTGTATTGTAGCAATAACTTCTAGCTGAACGATCCCATAAAAGTGATTTGAACTGTTTGGATGCACAGTTGTATTTCATCAGCACGTGATATTTGTCTTGGATGTTGAAGTCATAAATGAATAAAACGATCTCCATTGGAGAACATGAAATTGTATGAAACATTATTTCCAAGTCAGCCATTTATTTCCTATATTTAGACCAGCGCGTTTTGAACCTGTAAACAAAGGCCTGCCGATGTTTATTATCGACTAGCGCTGAGCCTGGCTTCTTTCTTTATTGTGAGTGTAAGTAGTGCCCAGTGGGATAGGGAGAAGCTATGCTTGGGATAAATGGTGCGAACAAAAGCCTTTAAACTGCTTTCTGCAGCTTATTTGTTGCCTACATTCACTTTGAGTGGAAATGGCTCGCCTCTGCCACCCTCACAGCTGCACACAAGAGGAAATCAGCAGCTTTAATGCTTGGAAAATGCAAATGCTGCCTCTTACAAATAGTACTCATAAAGGTAGATGAGTGCATCGGGCTTAAATATGGCTTTTTTTGCTGCACGTATCACGCCTGATGCATCCAGTCCAAAACATAAACACTGATATATATGTATCCATCCCATACTGCACAATTTGGGGGAATGCAGGGGGGGGGTTACCAAAAATACTTTTACTTTAACACATTCCAGTTGTGCTTATGCTTAGAGAATCTTTTTGTTTTGTTTTCTAATTTTAAAGGGGCCAGGTTGCAAACGCAGCCATGTTTTTATGTTTGTTGGAAAGGAAAGCATAATGTTTTTTGGGGTGGTGTGTTATATTGTCCAGATAAAATGTGAGCTTGTATTCAAAGTGTATCTTGGGCCCCAGTCACACCTAGGCATTTTGAAGCTTGAAGCTACAAAATGCTCAATACAAGGAATCCCATCGTGTTCTATGGCCCCTCTTCAACCGGAGCTTTCTGTCGCTTGTAGCAAAACACCTGTTGCTTGAAAAAGTTTTGATTTGAGCGTTTTTGTTCCCATACACTTCAATGGAAATGCCTTAAAATGTGCACCACAAGCATTTTTTGAGCATCTTTGGGGCATTTTTGTCACAGATGCTACTGCTTTCCACTGGGCCAAATAGAAAAACGACTGAAGCTAAACGCCTGCATAAATGCTCAAAAGCACGTGCACACGAGCATAAAATTGCTCAAAACACTTGCAGAAAATGCCAACGTCTAGGTTTGAACAGGGGTGCTTACACCTCAAGATGTAATATATCCCAGTTTCCTAGTCCCAGATGTGGTATTACATTAGTTTTCTTTTTTTCACGCTTTTCTTTTTTTTCTTCTGGTAATTCTCGCAAGATAAACAGGTATTTTATGCACTAAAAAGTGAAAACCACCAAATCTAAGGACTTGTAAGCAGCAATATACACTTTTTATGTTTGTTTCTGGGTTTAGATACACTTGAACCTTTTCGCTGCCTAGGCCTTTTTTGTTTTTTGTTTTTTCGTTTTTTGCACGCATGATATAATCCACATTATTTACATTTAGGCCTGAAAATTATTTCAAACCCCCAAAACATCATGAGGGCTATTCACAGAAGGGTGAAGAGTTTGGAGAAGGCAGGAGAAGTGAACAATCTAGGACAACATAGCTGAACTGGAAAGTGAGCTGAATTGGAGAATTTTTCCAAATCAGATATGTTGTCCTAGATTGTTCACTTCTCCTGCCTTCTCCAAACTCTTCAACCTTTTGTGAATAACCCTGTATATATTTTCTGAAAGCCAACACCCTGTAGAAGCAAATGAACACAAAAGAATTCCCAATTTTTTGTAAAATATAAACAATGGGGTTACGACGAGTAAATAGATACCGAACATGCCCAGGTTAAAAATTGCGTGCGTCTGTGAAACAGTGACAAAATTCAGTACCTCAAAAAGTTCATAGACATTTTAAAAGTTCATCAATTTAGAGATACGTGTAAATATTGGCCCTAGAATTATTGTTCTCACTCGTGTGCGGTGATACCCAACATGTGTAGCGCGATCTACGTTTTCACACGCAGGCGCACCTGATGCGGGCGACATTCAAATTGTTTTTAATTATTTTTACATTTATTTTATTCTATATCATTTTTTTGAAACTGTTTTTCTTTTAACTTTTAATTGCTATCATAACCCGGTCATGCTGGAAGCTGTGATTATCACACAATAAAGCCTTTGGTCGGTGGACATTGGTGTGCTGCCTTTTTCTCTTTATTTTTAGACACTAATATGTCACTAAATCAACATCTATAAATTCCCCCCATTGTTGTTTTTAGATCTGCCTGAAGTTCATGTTGAAGTGTACAGCCATTCCTCACTTAACGACCGAGTTCCGTTCCTACGACCAGGTCGTTAAACGAATTGGTCGTTAAGTGAGGAACTCTATACAGTACTGTACTGCATTAGTACAGTACTGTATAGAGTTGCAGATGTACAGTACCGAACAGTGTACTGTACATCGGCAATGAAAATACTTAACGGGACCCGCAGTGAAGATCGGAGGACGTCACTTCCGCCGGCGACACGTCGCTCTTACGCTGACACGCAAGGTCGGAGGTCGCTCGGCTGTCCGTCGTAAGTGCGAGTGGTCGCAAAGCAGGTAAGTCGTTAACCGAGGAATGTCTGTATTACCACTTTTGCAGCCATATTGGGATAACACCTACTTTATATGTGTTATATGTTCCCATTCTCATTGCATAGCTTAAAAAAAATATTTAAAATGTGCTAATGAACTTTTACTTTCTCTTTTCTGAAAACTCCAAATCTAAAGTTATGTAATGTTAAGCAGGGAGCCAAGGAGTTCATGTTTACCATAAATAACTCTGTCTGTACTGTGCTGGCAGATCTCATTATCAGTTGTTCACTAGATTTGAACACCGTCTAAACCAACAAAGGGTTAAAGATCTCAGTGCTTGGGTTCTGCACTGCATGGTAAGTCTGCCCCCACTGTGTCCCCTTCCACTTTCACTATTAAATTGTTCAGAGTAGCTTGCAGTCGGCCCAAAGTCCCTGCTCAAAAGGAACATCTAGAAAGTAAGAAATGTAAAAAAATATATATTGTTAGGTTTGCCATGTGAATGGAAACACATAACAAACATATAGAGGGGCTTTCTCAAATTTGACTGCAAAAGTGGAAATACACTTAAAAGAAGAAAGTTTTCACTTTGCACAGGGGCTACCCCCGCACTGCAAGGGCTATGTGCTTGTTTTGTTTAGGGGGCCTAAAAAAAGCAGATGAACTGACCTGATCCTCAGTCCCACAGCAGTCAGTGCTTATCTCTTCCCCTCCAACTCCGGCTATGGAATATCCCTCGGTGTCCGCACATCTAATGCAAATCAATGGACCTCCTTAAGATGTGATGACGTCAGCTGTCTTTAGACTGCCAGGGCCTATGGGAGAAGAGACTGTGGGTACAGGTCTAGCAGCTTGGTGGGACCAAGGATTAGGTGAGTATAACTGCTTTATTTGAGCCCCCTATACAAAACAAGCACTTAACCCATGCAGTGCAGGGGTAGCTCAACTGCAAGGATACGGTTTTTGTTTGCCCGGAGTTCTTCTTTAAAATTCAGATGTCTGTCAAAGAAGAAGTGACTTCTTCAGTCATTTTTTTCAGCTGCCATTTACATAAACAGTTCCATTCCTCAGATTCTTGAACAGCAGAAATATCCCAGCACATGAGTTCCTGGAAGACTTTTGTCAGCCACTCCTACAGCATTTCACTGGGAACTCCTTACAATAATAGCCCCAAAAAGAATCCACCGTGTGGGCTTTGCAGTGCAGCCATTAATATCGTCTTTTCCCACTCTGTTCCCTGGGGTCTTATAGCTTTGATTTAGATTGAAGACATTACCAGCAGCCATATTGAATGGACTGCATTTCTCTGCACTGTCTTGTGGGAATAACTGTAAATTGTACTACTGGGAATATAAATCTACTCTTGGCATTTTCCTCCCAATCCCCTCCTGTAAATAATGACTTATTGTCTTTTGTTTTTCAGAAAAACATTCTTGATTTGATGGACATCTTCCCTGAAAAAATAAGATGCAGCTTTCATGTCACGCAACAGAGTACACCGATCTGTCCAGAACTTCAGCCGTTTATCACTGGTGAGTGGGTCCTTATGGCTGGATACAGTTCAAATATCCATCATGAATTACTGGAACACACTTGTGAGGAATGCAGAGGCCTCTTTACTCATGGAATGTTGGGAAATCTACAACAACTGGATGGTTTTGTTTGTCCAAAGTTTTATTTTTAGCTGGAGGAAGTCCCAGCGGAAAGATTTGTCTTGCTCTGAAATCCTCTTTTCACCATCCCATTTAATGGGCAGAAATGTTTACAAACTAACTAGATAAATGACTTTTATATCTTCCTTGTATGTGTACCTGCTTTGCATTAAAGAGTTAGTTAGCCCCAATGGGAGAAAAGGGAATTTTAGGGATACACATTTTCAGTCAAGTCGGGTACACCCGGTTTGAATTTTGTCCCATGGGTGCCGCTGTTGGCACCCTTCTGCTTGGCATCCCTCAATCAGCTGATCAAAGGAGCTAGTTGGAAAATTCCCAGCCGAACGGAGCTAAAAGCCGATTAGCTGCTCGATATGTCCGGGTATTCTGGCAGTGGCTGGTGGCTGCTGTCAGCATACAATGCAAACAGCAGGGGACTTGTCCATCAACGCTTGTATACATTGATGGAGGAATCTATTCTATTTTTTTTTTTCGTTCAACCAGCAAGTTGAACAAAAAAAATAGAGCCGTGTATACCCCACTTTACTTTAACAACATTCACCTTTGAAGCATAATATTGGACATCATTTAAATGATGTTACATACAGTATTTTAAATGGGTTTCATGATTAGCGTTTTTTTCAATTCTCCACCCTATAGTGATCAGTATATCAGGCATTTGGCATCCTTTGAACACAAATTGGCATGTAAAATACATGTGAATCATTTTTTTCCAGTGATCTCTAAACAGGTTAAAGCCCTCCTCTGGAATTTTTTTAATAAATTGGTCCCCCAGCAATATTAAAAGTAAGCAATATTGCAGCTCAGGCTAAAATACCAGTGCGCTGTCCCCGCAGTACTTATTTTCTGCCATCATATGTCCTTAGTTTTCCAGGTTGACTGACACCCCATCATCACGAAACACCCCATCATGCACGAAAACATATTGTGCATGATGTCATGGGCCTGCTCGGGGGTGTCACCACGGCACCCTGACATTACCATGTATAAATGCAGAGGGAGGTGTTGACATCATATATATATGTGTATGTATGTATGTATGTATATATATATATATATATATATATACACACACTGAGTGGCCAGTTTATTATGACCACCTGACGTTTGTAGGCAAATTAGCTATAATTTTGCGCAGAAGTTGCTAGAGGGCCAGACCATTATAAATAGGGAAGCAGGTTGTTTACCACGACAGTAGAAGTGATTTTTTTCCTGAAGATATGGGTAAACAACGCGATTTAACAGCCTTTGAACGGTCATGCCTGTGTCCCATATATTTTTATTGATGTTTAAATCTGGTGATTGAAAAGGCCATAAAAGGCGTTAGAGATCATCCTGGTGTTCATACAGTCACTTTTGTATTATATACTGTAGCAGTATGTATAGGCACAACAAATCATAGCGGAAAAGAGTTTTTAATATAGAGCACACCTGGTCCAGTACATTAGCCTCCTATTCAGTAGCTACTACCATGTAAAGCGCTTATCAAACCTAAATACTCTCTCACAATGCAGCTGTCCATACCATACCTGAAATCACAGTGCAGATTCTGACTGCAAAAACATGTGAGAGTCTATTTATATACCTCATTTTCAGGTGCCAAGTCTGCACTTTGCTCTAACTTGGATTGCTAGCTGGCAGGTGGACATACTGTGCAGGTACTCCCAGCAGGCACTGACTATAATGGACTGCCTGTTGATCCATTAATCTACGGGCAGTCCATTATATATAATCAGAGCATGTGTTGCGTTATTATCCTTTGTGCTTCCAAGAGAGAAATCTCCGTTCACTTCTTGTTATGTCACAAAAAAGATGTACATGCGAATGGAGGGCACACAGCAATAACAGAATGTTAATTAACAGCGTGGGAAAGGGTTGGAACCTCTGTCAGATGTTTTCATGCTGTTTAAGCCACCATTGAGGAGATTTCTTTGATTTCTTTTGTGCTACCAGAACAGAGAGTGAAGGAAAATCTCCCTAGAGTAGGGGTATGCAACTTTGGCACTCCAGCCATTGTGGAACTACGAATCCCATGATGTAATGCAAGACTGACCGCCACAGGCATGACTTTCATAGGCAGAGGTATAATGGGGTTTGTATCTTCACCGCCACTGGAGTGCGGCAGCAGTTACAATCTGACAGAGGTCCAAAACCTTCCCTACTCTTTTTAAATGGCATTAAAAGAAAATACATGCCAGACATGTTACAGTGTGTGCTAATTCATTCCCTTATACCATGTTTCCTGGAGATATTGATTGGTTGCTGTCTTTGCAGACTGTGTAAATCCATTGTAATGATCTTGACTCTCATTGTATGGGGAGTACCTGAGTAATTAGGTCTAGTTTTTGCAAAGCCTTTGCGCACTTGAAAGGAAAATTCCCCCATCTGAGAGCACAAAGGTGAAGGAATTTCACACCTCTTCCTGACCATGCTAGCACTTAAATTGGAGTTTTATGGAAACATATGGAGGGTTTTTGCTGCTTGCCGTCTGTTTAATGTTTATATAAACCGTTATGCTTTGGTTTAATAGACTGCACAAGTAAAGTTTCTCAGTTAGGATTATTTTCTGGTGCGTTTATTCACTGCTTTTCTCATGCTTTTAATTGGCTTACATTTGTTCTTCTGTGCCTTATTAAAAAGAATGGTAGCGAAGTCCCTGCAACAAAAATATTTCACAAACTGCTAAGAGCTGGCATTTGGGCTCTAGTACTTCAATATAACAGTAGACGTATTTTAATAATTGCAAGCAACGTACTCCAACTGGGATGAATACATTTTAATGGTTTCATAGTCAGCACGTAGCACATAAGATGAAATGTTCACTTTTATGAACTTGGTGACAATTATATTGTACTGTATCCCCCCCCCCATTTTGAACTGTTCTACACACATAAAACTGACTGCCCGAGATATGTTGCACCTGGGTTTTCTGAAGTAAAAAGTTAAATAGTATGACTTAAAGTAGTATTAAACGCTCAATCTTTTTTCAATAATAATTCCAGATCAAGCAAATATACAGTTCCCAGAAAAGTATTGCTTTAAACTTTTGCCCAAACACTTATAGTCATCATGTTTCCAAAAAGCTGGTTCCAACATTCTCAGCCTGGCATCCCTGAACTTCCCGTCCAATACAAGATCTCAAGGGAGAGCTCAGTCTAATGCAACTGTCCATCTACTAGCTTGAAGAAGAGAGAAGGAAGGAGGAGAGCAGGGGGAGGGCATTGTATCGAGTTATAGCTTTCAGCCAAAATCTGAAGCAGTTGCCAAAAGTAACTTCTTTCTTTCATTTTCAAAGCTTAACCGAACAAAGGGAAGAGAGAAGCTGATTGGTTACTATGGGCAACTGCTTCAGATTCTGTCTGCTCCAATTTTGATAAATTCCCCCTATAATAATTTGCATTATTGCTAAGCAGAGAACAAAATGGAAGCCTCCCCAGCTGCACATACCCACCTTCCTTTAACTTCCCATGCCTCTCCATTTCTCTGCCAGGAGAGAATGTTGGCTTGGCTCTCTGTTGACCCAGCCCATGTGACAGTGGTGGGCTCCTGAGCAGAAATCGCAAACCAACCCTTAGATGTGGGAGGAAGGGCTGCGAGTCCCATGTTCCTCTCATCGGCCGAATGGAGTTTCAGGGTGAAGGAAGTTAGGTGTGCATCTGGGGAGAGTTGACAGTAAAGTTAACCTGTTGCTTTAAACCCTTCCTTCCTGGAGAGACCCCCCTCTTTACACAACCTCCCCTGCCAAAGACCTTTTTTCCATGGGCCTTCTGTCCAGTTACATGACAACACAGATCTTATTCATCCTGCAACAATAAGTGGTCCTGAATGCTGCAGAGAACATGGTTCAGCTAGTGACATGAGCACTGGTATCTGCAGCATTCTCCAGTGGTCCCAAGTCAGCTTGATGATGCCCCTCAGGGGTGTGTCTATAGTAACCTGGACTCGCAGGAAGTTCATTATTTAGCCTGGAAGAGGATTCTCACTACACCACAAATTAGAGAGAACTGGGGTGATGGTGTGTGTTGCAACAAAAGCTTGTTTTGCTTAATATATTGCTGGGCTATTTCTTATTTAAACCTGAAGCTTGGTTTACATTTTTGGTATTGAAATGATCACATATTATTTTGCATGTTCATGAGGTTTTTTATGTTGAATTATCTTTTATTAACTCAGAGGCAAGGCCAGAACAAGGCAATGTGTTTTTCCTTTGCTTAACAGAGCATTAACTTTTCAGCTTATTTGATTTGGTAATTACACTTTCAATGCATTTCCAAGTTTAGCAACAATTAATGAAGTGCTATTGTTTTGTCTAACATGAACAGAAGGAAGAATCACTGGGAGTCACCTAGCAAATTATGTTTCTCGTGATCATCTGTGTTACATATGTGGACCACCTCCAATGATTGAGGCCATGTGCAAACAGCTCGAGGACCTCCATGTGCCCAGAGAACGGATTTACTTTGAAAAGTGGTGGTAGAAGGGGAATGCCTAAAGAGCCAAAAACCTCATTCAAGTACCAGAGATGATCAGCTGGAAGCAAATGTACTGTTCTCAGGGAGAAACACTGACACACAATGGCAAAAGAATAGAGTAACTGTTAAAGAACATAGCCGTCACTCAGTCATTTTTCTAACTACCGGTATAACAGTCCACAAATGGAAAAGCAAAGATGATCAACGTGGAGTGTTTTATAAGCAATGTATCAACTGCTGTCTTTTATTTAAATATCATTTGTAAAACTGTGTACTATAACTTGGCGTATGAGTCATCATATGATGTGGTTTCAGCAGGAAACAGAAAACTGCAGGCTGAAAGTATTCCAATAAACTTATTTAGATTTATTAACTCCTACAGGCTTAAAGCCCATATCCACCTTCGCAGAGGTATTTAAAAAAACAAAACAAGAAACCTATGGCAGCAATGTACACAGTGTACATGAAGCAGGCATATGCAGTTGCTGTGTTTGAACCCACAAACTTACTTTTTTTTTTGTTAGCTTTCCTCTTGATATCCTTATGTAAAAATGTCTGCCTGTGTTTTGCAAGCTCTTTCTCACCTCTCCCATTCATTAGTAATCAGAGTGGCACTTTCTCCCCCCCAGACAGTGTATTGTGTGCAAAGGCAGAGCTACTGTTTACTGATCGTGTTACAATGAATAACAGGGAGGGGGAGAGCTGTTTAAAGTCAAATTACCATTGTTCCCCGGTGTCTGAAAATGTGCACATGTATACATCATCACTGCACTTCTTCATTACCTCAATGAATGCGATTTACTTACAAAGGTGGAAATGGACTTTAAGCCCGTGACAAACTGCGAAGCGGCGAACAGCAAAACGAAGCTGCAAGGCGTGGACGTTCACATGCAGTGTGCAAGAGCTTCGGTAGCTGAAAGACTTTAACTTCAGCCAATCAGCTCACGCGTAACAATTCAATGGACTTAGCATCCTGACGCGCAGGCTCATACATGCGAGCTGATTGGCTGAAGATTACATTTTTAATCTCGGCACGCTCAGCTATGCAAGCTCTCACAAGCTAATGAGCCGGAGTGAAAATTGCAAGACACACTGCGCGCGAAGGTCCCCATGCCGCCGCTTCTCTTTGCTTCATGTGCAGTGTGTCACAGGCTTTATTCACTAAGCCACAATACAATCAATCTTACCTTACCTGGTTACATTACATTCTAGAACATACATAAAGACATGCTTATGACTTCTGCTGGATGTGTCTCATTGGGTATGTGACGTGTAGTAGGGGTGCCCAGATCCCCTATGAAAGATATGCTATGAAAACATTTTGGGCACTTACTTTAAAATGCTTGCAGACAACTCTTACTCAGCCCCATCTTGTTTTCCCCTCCATACTATGTTAGTCCTAGAACAGTACTGGGCAGAGAAAGTAAAAAGTCACAGTGTGGATGACAGGCAGATCAGATCAGATGTGGGATTTTTCTACATTCTATTGAGTTGTGTGGATCTCTAAACACAGGCTTCTAGCACAGTTAGTGTACTTTTCATACTTCACCTTCATGGATAGAAAGCCAGCTGGCAAATTTCCATACAAGTGTTGGATGTATGTCTGCCAGAAGAAATAATAGTGGCCATGGATGCCTTTGAACATACATCTTCCTAAATTCTATATGCTGTACATGAGAGAGCACTTCAAAACATGTCCTCGGGCTAAGTGGATTGTTTGCCTACATATAAAAGAATATAAACCACAAAAATAGAACCCTACACATTCCTGCTAAAGTCTTCAAGGAGGCCATTTCCAGCTAGCCAAGATGTTTCCATGTGACTCATCCCCATGTTCTCTTGTGATAAAATTTAATAGGCGGAAGTGAAAACAGAATGAGAATGCACAACATAAGTGCGGGCAAGACAATGATAGTAAAGAGTAGTATAAAGGAAGATCTGGAGATAATTTAGCTGTGAGTGCAGGGAGAACGCAGCATAGGTATTCCACGGTTCATACACTCCAAAAGAGCATCAATCACAGAAAAGGCTTTTAGTCAAGAGATTGTTCTCCTGACAACAGAGAGAAAGCATCTAAAAGCACAACACAAATGCTGGAAACTAGCAATAGCACCGCAACAAGCATACTGTAGTCTGCAGCAGTATGTGCATGTCAGCTGGTGGATTGTATTATCTAAATGAATGTTCTCAGTTTCAGTAAAGCCTGGCCTAGAACCTCTGTCAAGGTAATATTACTGTCTGTGTCTTCCTGTACCACTGACAACTGTGCCTTCATTTATTGTCCTTCTGTCATAGGTAAGGATGCACAGATACCAGTGCCGATACTTGGCATTTTCATGAGAACTACCAGGGTTGCAGCGGTTGCAGCTGGGACCGGCGCTCTCCTGAAATCATTAGTCTGTATTGTTTTAGAAAAACTGTCACATGACAATAAACAAAAATGTATAATTACTTGTGTCTGTGAGTACTTGGACAGGTATCAGTACTCGTACTTGCAAAACTGGTATCGGTGCATCCCTTTATATGTGTTTATAAAAACAAAACAGGAATGCACAAATCCCATGAGCCCTGTATGCTCCTTACAAATGACAGCTGCCTTCTAACTTTTACATTTTTGTCTAGTCTTGGAGCTGGAAAAGTATCTGTACATGTACTCGTACCGAGTACGGTACTTGGTATCGGTGCATCCCTAGTCACAGGGACAGGAACTGAGGAGAAATCTCCCCAATGGGGGTTACCAACAATAATAAAACCTTTAAAGACTTATTTACGATTACCAGGTTTATCCATAACTAAAAATGTTCATCTGTGAGGTAAATGCCAGAGTGCTCATCCACAAAGAAATATCCATGCAAACCCAAAATAGGTATAGAGGCACCCACGGGTCAAAAAATGAGGTCAGCTGCCTACCTGAATACACTGAATAGTGGTTGACCTATTATCGGATCTGCTGATAATCGGGACCGATATTTACAGATTCTTTCATTATCGGTATTGATGAAAGTGACCGACATTACCGATAATAAACACCGTGCAAAATTCAGCCAGTTCTTGAGGAACTGGCCAAAATGTGCACGGTGGGTGCTGCTCTCTGGCCAGCATCCCTTGATCAGCTGATCAATGGAGCCAGTTAGAATCCGGCAGCCATTGAGCTGCTGGCCCTGCTCGAGTATTTTGATAGCGGCCAAAGAAAACAAAAAATAGCAGATAGCATTCGTTCCTCTGCTATCTGCTGATTCCCCTGCTGTTTTTTTTGTTTGTTTTTTTCATTTTGACAGTGGCCACCGTCAGAGTAAAAAAAAAAAAAAAAAAACAGCATGGGAATGAATAGCTAGACTGTTATTGGTTATTTCAATTTGCAATAGCAGGCTGGCTGTTGCACCCGCCTACTGCTGCTGCCAATCAGTATAGGTGGATCTTTAGTTCTAATTCAGGTCCTCTGCCTGCTATTGCAAATTGAAATAACCAATAACAGTCTAGCTATTCATTCCCATGTGTTTTCTTTTTATATTGTATATGTTGTTTGCTTTTTTTTTACTCTCACGGTGGCCGCTGTCAAAATAAAAAAAAACAACAGTGAATCAGCAGAGGAGCTAATACTTCACATGCTATCTGCTATTTTTTTCTTTGTATTCTGACTGCGGCCACTGTTAGAATACAAAAAAGACAAGAACGAGTCGAGCGATGTCAGACGACTGCCTGCTGTTTACATTCAGCTGCTGGTGGAGCCGGATGTAAACAATATTGCTACCTGATATCGGTTATCGGCCTGAAAGGTGGCTAATAATCGATAACGGTACCGACAAATCCATATCAGTTGATCCCTAATACTGAATGGCCAGGTTTTTTCCATCAATTGATTTTTTCTTCCCTGATGGCACATTGGGCATATTCCAAGAAGACAATGCCAGGATTCATCGGGTTCAAATTGTAAAAGAGTGGTTCAGGGAGCATGAGAGATCATTTTCACAAATGGATTGACCACCAGAGTCCAGACCTTTACTCCATTGGGAATCTTTGGGATGTGCTGGAGAAGACTTTACGCAGTGCTCCGACTCTCCCATCATCGCTATAAGATCTTGGTGAAACTTAATGCAACTCTGGATGAAAATAAATGTTGTGACATTGGATAAGCTTATCGAAACAATGTCACAATAATGTGTGCCGTTATCAAAGCTAAAGGCGGTCCAACAAAGTAATAGTGAGATTTTTATTTTTATTTGGGCAGGCAGTGCATATCTGCTGCAAGAGCCATGAGTGCCTCTATACCTACTTTGGATTTGTAAATATATATAAGGTTTTCCATAGACCTATAGATGGTAGTGGGATGTGCCTTCAGGCATCAGGATCAGCTGCTGGGCCAAAAATGGAACAGCTTGGTTTACAGTGCCGGCACCAATCAGAAGATTACATTGGAAATTAGGGCAGGTTTTCTTTTACAGGTGAAACTCGAATAATTAGAATATCGTGCAAAGTTCATTTATTTCACTAATGCAACTTAAAAGGTGAAACTAATTTATGAGAAAGACTCATTACATGAAAAGAAAGATAATCCAAGCCGTGATTTGTCATAATTGTGGTGATTATGGCTTACAGCTCATGAAAACCCCAAGAACCCCAAATCCACAACCTCAAAAAAGTAGATTATTACATGCAATCAATAAAACAAGGATTGTACATAGAACAATATCGGACCTCTGAAAAGTACAAGCATGCATATGTACTCATTACTTGGTTTGGGCCCCTTTTGCAGCACTTACTGCAATTACTTTTGCACAATATTCTAATTATTCGAGTTTCACCTGTATATAGACTAAACGCTGCACACGGTGATTCTGGTCCCCATCCTCAGGCCTACCAGATGCATGTTGTGGGTTTCCTCAGCCAGATGTATGTATCAGATATGGTTACTAATCTTTACAGACGTGGTGTCCCAATATATACACCGAAGTTCCTGTTCTACCAGCCAGACCTCAGCTCTTTCCTTGCACACTTGTTTCGCTTCCTGTGTTATACGCAGACTTACATTTTTACATTAAAGGTGATCAGTAACCCATTCATTTCCAGTCTTCCTTCACATTCATATATGGGCATGCTGAAGTTTGCTTGCAAAATAATTTGTATCATGTGCTGTCAAAAAAAAAAGCTGACAGGAGTAGCCCTCCCTTACTTTTTCCAAAACGTAAAAAATGTTTTGGCTTTAATTCTACTTAAAAATGTGCGTAGCTGTGTAGAAGAAGATTACTAATAACTCATTTATTTATTACTTATTTTTATATAGCGCCGACAATTTACACA